GTTGGACTAGATGACCCACAGAGGTCCCTGCCAACCCCGACCATTCTGTGAGTCTGTGGTTCCCCTTGCCAGCTGGGTGGTGTTTCCCCTCCATCCGCCCTGGCCTCTGCACAGAGGCGTGCGTGAAATACGATGGCTCGGCTTTGCCAAGGGTTCATGCGAGCTTTTCCTGGGGTTTCAGGTGGGCACCTCACGGATTTTTAGTTGCAGTCTGCCTGGGGCTGTTCCGAGACAGATCCTCGCCTACACGCAGGGAGCTGGGGGGCTTTCCCTGAGCGTTTCCAGTAACAGCTCAGCCCCCGTGCCATGTGGTTTTAGCCCGGCTGCGTGCAGTGGGCCTCCCTTCTCCTCTGTCTCCCCAGAAGAAGCCTCTGGTGGGATGCGTGCTGCGTTTCCTACAAGACGGTAGTGGCTGAGTACACGCCAAGCTGAAACAGGCTTCAAGAGGAGATTAAGGGGCTGTAGGAAGCTGAACAAATGGAGTACAAAACAAATGTAGAAAACCGTACAGAGTCGCCTCTGAACGTTTCTCAAGTGTCAATCTCTGTTTAAAAGGCTGGCGAAGGAAATTGTTTTGGCTTTTAAAGTTATGAAAACCATAGTGTTGAAAACCATATGTACTATAAAATACCACGTCCCATCTATGCAAGCGTGTAATAGTAAGTATCCAAGGCTATACGCGCTTCAAATATAAAGAACATTGACGTATGTATCCAATGAAATTTGTAACGTTACCAGTAAGAAAACAACTCCTAACCATGCAAGTGGCCGTATTTCCTTGTGGCTTAGGCCTGGTAATTTTTTTTCATGTACTTTTCATCCTTGCAAATTCTCATACGAGTCTTTCGTTCAGCTCCTTCTTTAACCCAGGCTTCCTCCCCTGAAACATCCGGCACTAACTGCGAGAAAGAGTAACTCAGGGGTGAGAGGAACTGCGGGGGAAAAGCTTTCAGTGTGACCTGTGCTGGGGCAGAGAGCCAGGGAGCAGAGCTGGGCCACTGCTTGCTCCTCAGGCTTGGCTTTGGGAGCGGAGATGGGGTGGGGATGGGAAGCAGAGACAGCAAGAAAGCATCTGGTGAAACCATTTTAGGTGTCTCACCAGCCCACCCTCAACAGCCCTCCGTGCCTCAGTTTCCCCACTGAGTATAACGACTGCGATCCTCTTTGTAAGCACACTGTCTGGGGTAGAGGTGGTGGTGAGGAACCCAGTAGCTCCGTCTTCTCTCCCCTCCAGAGAGCTCCCACTGCTCCTTGCGTTTTCGCTCATCCCTTGTGCTCAGGTCCCTGTGGCAGAGGCAGGTAAGTGTGTTTCAGTAAGCGGCTGCTCTGTTCTTCGACAGTCCGCCGGATCGATAGGTTGTATATAAGCGTGTTTATTACCCTGATCGACCCCTCCTGCTGATGGATGTGCTCGCGGGCACGTCAGTGCCAGCTCTGCCTTAACGCTTTCTAGTCCGTGCACTAACGCGGTCCGGAGGTATTCACATTTTAATGGCTTTCCTGAAGAAGTGATGGGTGCCCCTGCCGCAAGCCAGACCGAGGGAGTTTCCCGTGCAGGGCAGGGGGGGTTAGCTGTAAAATTTAGAGGTTGTATGAGCAGAGGGACCCTGAAGAAGAGAAGGCTGAGAGGGGACCTTATAAATGCTTATAAATATCTTAAGGGTGGGTGTCAAGAGGATGGGGCCAGACTCTTTTCAGTGGTGCCCAGCGACAGGACAAGGGGCAATGGGCACAAACTGAAGCAGAGGAAGTTCCGTCTGAACATGAGGAAGAACTTCTTCCCTCTGAGGGTGACGGAGCACTGGA